TATATATAGGAAACCAAAGCGGCAAATAGACCCTAAAGGTATCTCTCTCATATATATATATATATATACACCCTCCATGCATCTTGAGCGCTTCCAACAACCATATCCAAAAGTTGCCTGCGGAAATTTGTTGCTTCTTATCTTCTTCCGCCTTATGTATGAACTACTGCTTCTTCTTCATGGCTTAAAGAGAGCACTTGGCAGGTTCATGGTCAACCTTCCATACTTGCCGCGTTGCTGTGTCAGAGTATGTTGCATGAACAATAATCAGGCCTTCACCCCTCCAGCTTTCTGAAAGATGTAGGTTCGGAACATCTTCCAAGGTCGGCAGCCCTACATTAACGTAGATTCAGTGCTTTAGTCCAGAAATGCCATCCAATAAAGCATCCGGGCAGTGTGAAACTCAAAGTGGTGGGGATGAGCCTTGCTGGGGCAAGGAACACATTGAGCACAGATTGTACGTTGAATCGGTAATTGCAGCTATGACAAGTTGAGCAGTTGTTCAACTGCCTGACTGACCCTTGAAGTGTGATTCTGCCAACGAGGAGCGCTTGATCTCTCGCATACGCTCTTCATCGGTCCCAAATGGGTTCCTGATGTGCTTTTCTGCCAAGCTGGAGGCTCAAAAAAGTGGATTGCAGGTAGCCTTATTGGCGTCAGGCAATAAGACAGAAGGATGCTGGCCAGGCCGAAGCCAAATCGAACGCCTGCGCACAGCACATCACAGCACCGCATCAATACATACCGCCACCCCTGACAAACGATCCATACAACTAGCCACTGAAGCTTCTGCCGAAGGCCTACTAGGCTCCAAAACGCTCGCCCACAGCGCCCGCCGCCGACTCTCTGGACGAGAGCCTCGACTTGCCCCGCCCAATGCCTCGTGCCATGCCTTCCAGCCATGTTGGCGTCAAACGGCCTCAGGGCTACGACAGTTTCGACGCTTGGGAAGGCTTTGCGTAGCCATGTCTTTGACGAAGCGATCGCCATGCGAAGGCTAAAAGCTTGAAGGCAATAGACGGTTGAACAAGAATCTAAGCAGCCTGCCAGTAAGGGCGCTCAGGAAATTGCTCACTGAGTCGAAAAAACCTGCCGAGCGATCCTTTTGGCTGCAACTCTTAGAACGCTCAAGCACCTTACTCGCAAATCGCGCAAAGTCTAGAAGGAATGGCCAACGCCGACGGCACATTGTCTTTGAGCAACGAGTGACAGCTGCAAGCCTCTGCTTCTTGCCGGCGATGACATAGCGACATAGCATCTGCATGCCTATAGTTTACATCCTTCTACTGGCCTTGCAAGGCCGTTGTTCCTACCAGCCTTCTGACTGGAAGCGCAAACCTGCGCCTATGGCTGCTTCTTACCATGCAGATCTGATCGGAGCTGGGAAGGAAAGCTGGGGCAAAGATTCTCAAGCTACTCTGGCAGACTCTCTTGCGAAGATTGTGGACCAGGGTTTCTGCTCTTTGTTGCCTATTTGCTGTCTGTACTAGGTGAAGCAGGAGCTGCAGGCACCAATCAAATTCTGCATGTGTGTGATGATAGTCATGCTCTTGGCCTGCTCATATTGCGGCTCCCAGATCTGAGACATTCGGCAACTGTCTTTGCTATGGTGCTGCGGGAGCGGGCGTTTTCCTGCATTCTAAGGAAGAGCAGAAAACCGAAGACCTAAAGGAAACAAAAGCTATACAATGGCAATTCTTGGCTGGATTTGTGGCCGGCTCCCACCTGATCTGATCCCGGAAACCGTGTTTCAAGCTCAAAGGCTTTACAACTTTTTGCCACCTTGGGAGCTTCTCCTGCACCCCCTTCCGGCCTCTGTGAGTTCTGATTAATGACCTGTCCACAAACAAGAGCCCTGCAAGTGGCATGCAAGTGACCGCCCGACACGTCTATCTGCACACTGGCCTTTTCTGCATCCGTCAACGTTCCCGAAAGCAAGTCTAGCTGGATAATATACGCCGAAGATACACATGAGCAAGAGAACGGACGCCACGTTTCGAGTCTGCTCCGAACCCACAAAGATAGTTGCATGGACATGCCATTGCTTGGCTGGATGTTGCGGCCAGCCAGCCTGTACGCGATAATTACTCCGTTATCTTTCTTATGCACACTAAACCCTTCAACCTCACTCTTTCCAGCGTCTAAGCGGCCACTAAGCTCCTGACTGCGCAAGCCCAGAATCCAGCGCAGTGCGGGCCTTAAAGAGCTTACAGAACAAAAGCCGTCTGAAAATGTCTTTCAGGACTGACACAGGCTGGCACCTACTGTACCCCCAGCTGAATTCGGACTGGAGAGCCACGAGACCCTGACACTTTCTGGTCCATGAGACCTAAGCAGCAAACTGCCAGTGCCAGCAAGACAGCTTTGGTTTGAGGTGAATGTTCCAAAGCAACAGGCCAGGATCTGCCTATGCTACCAGTAGCCTTGTCGCGACAGCTTCACCAGCGGAGTCTACAGCTGGCTCGGGCACCCCGCTGGAAGATCTGCAGCAGCTCGGCGGAAGCCTCCTGAGCTGCTGAGTGAAGCAAGAAGTACACATCGGGCGAAATCAAATGCGTTGACAACACGGCTCCAAAGGACTTGAGGTCAAGCCTTTCTGGCGTAGGTCAAGAACCTAGAGTTCAAACCCAAACAATGTCACAGTGCCCTGCGTCTGCCAAAACCTGAATCAAGATGGTTGAAAACTCTGCGACCTGAGATGCTAAACATCTGCTGCAAAAATGAATCCTCAGCTTAACACAATCCCGGCCATGGTGCCATATCTTGAAATTCTCGAACAAAATGAGGTCTGAGGGCATGTTTGTTAGCGAAAATCCTAAAGCGCACACTGACCAATCTTAAGCTCCCAGCTTAGAGATGCTAAGATGTTTTCTCGGCCACTGACGGCCAGCTGGCCGGCTGCTTGTGGTGAAAGGAGGGGAGCATAAGGCGAGACCTGCGGCACGGGGGTGATCAAACGTATATATCCAACCCTCGAAACTTGGGAAAGGCGCTGGGATTCCCTGTGTTGAGGCCTTATGAGCTACCATATGGCTCAAAGTTGCGGTTCTGAGAGCAGAAACACAAGGAGAAATTGTCGCGAAGGAGGAATCCAATGGGTTGTACACTGTTTGTACGTCCCGCTACTCTAGCCATATCACAACTCTCTGGCATCTCACCCTCCAAAATGTATACAGTATTACGCAAGAAGCTGTGCGGCGAACTGCCACTGATGGTGCACTGAGCAGTCCAGCGCTCAAAAAAGAGTTCACGGCAATAACTGCTTTTGATTGCACGTGCCTCGCCTGTTGACGCCTGGGCTGCCTTCGCACATTTCCCACAGAGCGAAACTCAGCGTCTGCATGCATGTAGCTTTGAGATCCAAGATGATGAGGATTGAGGCAGCCTGGGGGGGGCAAAGTGACGGGGTAAGGGGGGGACGGCAGGGGTCACGCAAGCGGGTCCACCTGGGGCACCTGGCATGCAAATGGGGCTAGTGGAATTCAGTGGGGCAGGACAGGTGCAGGTGCATCAAGTTGTGTAAGTGGGGTTCAGTGGGGAAGGTAATAAGAAGGTAAGCGGAATGAAGTAACATGTCCACAGGAGCCGTAGCGGCAAGTGGCGCAGCGTTAGCGGGCCGCACCTGCTTGCAACGCACTCTATCGTTCCTGCGGAAGCCTTCCTGACAGCTGCTCGTCCAACATGTTTAAAACAGGCGTAGGCGCGAAGATATGCTTTCGGGCCGGCCAGGAAGTGATGCGGCGCGATCACATTTACAACATTGCCCATGGTGCGTTGCTGCTTGGCTCCACACAGTGTGCGCCTGCTGCTGTGCGCTTCTTACACTCTTTTGCACAAATATGGCGCGCCGGATTCTGGCAGGTATCCAGCCAACTCCCCGCCGAGTTGTCCTGTCTTCCAAGGCGAACGCGTACTAGCCTTCACAACTCTCGCAAGCTGCCGTGGCTCCGTCAGTCAAAAGCGTTGATCTTCTGTGGTGTCACCTTGTCAACTTGTCATTGGCTCCGAACTCAACCCGCCCAAAGCGTGTGCAGTTGTGGGCCAGTCTGGCGCTTTTTAATCGATGTAGCCCTTGCGGAATCTACCTGTCTCGCAATAATTTGTACATCCCAGGGAAGCCGAACCCAATCTAAGCCCAAAATAGTGTCCTTTCAGCAGCCACACATACAGGACATGATGCAAAGACCTCGACAAGTAGCGGAGCTGCTCCAGATCATGTCGTAACTTCCATTCGCTTCCAACATCAGCCTGCCGAGATCTAAGTTGTGCCCAAGATGTTCAGCAATATTTCCCCCTGCCTCAGCAATGCTGCTGGAAGCCCGTCCCGTGTCCCATGACAGGGGACCTTAACCGGCCAGCGCTGACAAGCTCCAAAGTGTGTGCAACCGAAAAAAGCCCGCCACTTTGCTTAGCCGTAGCCTCCATGCTGTCTGCTGAGGCTCCAAGACGAAAAAACAGCAGGGTCGAGTTTGTTGCTTATTCCTTTTTGTTCCTTCCTTGTTTTCCCATTGGGAGGACTCTCCACGCCCGAGTTTAATTCTGAACAAAAGTGCGAGGACGCTGCACATGAGAGCTCAATTTCGGTGGAAAACGTGAGGAGGCTCCACGCCAAAGTTCGCTCTTAAGCAAAAGTGCGAGGACGTTCCACGCAAGACCTCAAGTTTCAGCAAAAATGTGAGGACTCTCCACGCCGGAGCTTGATTGTGAGCAAATCGTAAGAAAGCTCCACGCGAGGGCACCATTGTGATGCAGTAATAATACCGAATCATAGTAGTACTACTAATATCGATAGAATGTAGGAAAATAATCGGAATAGGAATCATATGCTTCTGAGGGACCAGGGCATCAGAGGCGGAGAAAAAAAACAAGAAGAAAAAAAAACAATGGAAAGAAAACATACGCCCTCCCACAATACAAGCCTGCATCCACGTCTAGCTACTGAAGCTGCTAGACAAGACATTGCAAACATCGGAATGACATGAACGTTACTTCTGCACGTTACTCAGAATGATGTGCATGAGGTTGATGCTGGGCGTTCCTTGGCGGCGCCGTGCCCAGTGAATGTGCTCTAACCTCGCCAACAAGTTTGTGTCTACGCACTGGTGCGGATGATCCTGCATATCCCCCAGCCATTTGAAGGCGCGGTCATAGCGTCCCCGCCAAAGCCTTGCGGCCCATATAGAAGAAGCTTGCTCACAGCTTGGGATGACGCGCTGGGCTTGAGGCGCCAGGCCGGCGATCATTGTACCACAATGCAGAAGAGCCTCATGTTAAAGTGACAAGTGTCTTGAGACAGGACGTCTTGTGGAAAGGATGACGCCCTGCCAGGATCTGAGTCCAGAAGTGTTCCAGCCTGGGCCAACAGACATGACTGTCTAGGCCTGCTTAGACCCTACAACCAAATGCTTTTGGTAAGCTTCCGTGCTAGGATCTAAGATGCTAGACCTCCTGCCAAATGGAGAAAATGCTTACGGATTGACCCTGCAACTTGCCACTGCTGAGATGTGAACACGATGGTCGCTACATCGTTGTAGCGCCCGCGCTGGATCTATGTGACCTGGTCAGGCATTTCCTAAGTCAACTGTTTGTCTGGTTGGCTGACCACTTCAGCCTATGAAAGCAACGCATATCTCTCCCAGAAACAAGCGCAACAATCCCCATAACCCCTCCTCTTATCTCGGAAAATCAGGTGCAATCCGGGTGCTTGACCATCGAGAAAATCGTTCCTGGACACTTCTGAGCCCAGGCCACAGTAGCATCTGAACTACACTCTAAGCTTTTCAGCCAAGACGCAGCAAGTAGGACCTCAGTCGAGGACGTTCGGCGCTCGAATCTCTGATGCTCTATGAATGCAAGCAGAGCACGAGTAGAAATGCGAGTCGCCATAGATCGTCATGGGCTGCTGCTCGGGAACAAGCATGCAGTGCTCCTGCCACAGGTCATCTGGGGCTACAGTGCATTCTTGTGATCGTAGTTGTCATATTTCATTGCATAGGTGTTTGCTCAAAGCAATCGGGGTGGTCGGTGCTGTGCTGCTTGCCTTGCTAGCTGCTCGAAAGTAGGTCTGAAATGGAGCAATAGCAAGAAGTCTGCGGGTGTGTTTGGGTCCCTGGCATATCGTCAGCCTAATTGCACGTGGCATGTTGCCAACCCCCAGTGCTGCGTCACCCCAAACCTCCCTGGTTCGCACAAACTTCCTCCCAGGCTGCCGTCTCTCAATGGGAGCCTTTAAACGGTCATACTCAATATCAAAGCCAATGTTAAGTAAGTCTGAAGCACACACACACACACATGACTGAGGCATGCAGGCCCAGATCCTCCCACCCATCCTCCCACCTGCTTAGCCCGCTGCTGTGCAGGGCAGATTGCTCATCTGATGCCGCTGCGTGGTTGCAACGTCTGCCGCCGATGCAGGGATGAAGGATGCAGCGCAGTCCGCCTTGTGCCTGGGGCGTCGACGCGATAGCGCCGGCCGCAAGAAGACTTCAAAGGCGGAAGTCCGGGTGGCACGCGCAGTCAACTACGAGCCGGTCGTGTATGCTAAGCGAACTGCGGACCTTCCTTGACCTGTCACTGCCAATCCCGCAGATTCTCTCGATGGGCCCATGGGAACGCGCGTTGCCGCAGTGCCCTGTGCTGCCCATATGGTCGAGGTTTGCGTGCAAATGCGTGACCTTTCTAAGGGAGTCTGGAGCATTTCGCCCAGCAACCTCCTTACGGCCTGCCAGTTATGCAAGCGCAACAATGGCATTGCGGCCCCACGCAAAAATTGATACTGACTATCAGATGCAAATCGCTGTAAGTCGTGGTCACTCTGTTAAACGATAGGCATTGCTTCCAAGGGTGGGGAAGGGCGAGAAAGCATGACTGAGGAGAGCGATTTACATCCTGACAAGTCACGGTGCATCGACTCTTTCGCTTCCTCCTGGCTCCACACGGAAGCAATACACAGAAAAGAATGCACAAGGATTTTCCATCTAGGACCTCTGATGGAAAGCGGAATATGAGAAAGCCCAGTTAGCTGGGGAGTGCAACGCTTGCGGCGCATGCTGAGACGTATTCAGGCTCAAGGAATTTTCATCCTGGCAGCTCATCAGCATCATCAGCTTATCTTTCCGTCCATGCCAAAAGACCTTGTTCTTTTGTCGCCCTGCATTGCAAGTGTAATCGTGCGTTCATACCTGCATACAGCTGAGTCACCTTCGCGCATGCAACTATCGGCTTTGCTGCCGGATTGCAGCAGAAGGGTTCAGTCTTGCGGAGCATTGTTGCAAGCTCTTGGCTCTAAAGCACTCTGCCGGCGTATGCTGGCGACTTGCCTACGGTGACATCGGTGACCTTTTCATTTAGGAGCACACTGAACCTAAGAGGAGTTGAATATTCTTGCAGCAGAGCAAGAACTTCGCATTTAGCAACTTCCCAGTTTACGCCCACAATCCAAACTGACCACCCGCAAGGCTTTCCGAACTTTGCCCGCGAGCCAAGTTGGCGACTTGGAAAGCAGACCAGCCGCAGGGATACTGGGATGATGACTGTAGGAATCTGAACTGACCACCAGCCCCCCCATGAACTCCCCTGAACCTAATTAATGTCACAGGCCTGCGCATTTGGCTCTTGCTGATGTGCACCTGAAGAATCGTGTTTCGTCTTCAATTTCAAGGTCCGACAAAGTTTGAAACTCGCAGTGCATCTGAATCTGGGGAACAAGCAGCAGTGCCGCATGTATTGCTGATCTTCGCGATCGATCTGAGCGGACTTCCATGAGCTGAGCGGAAAAATCGACTCAAGGTCGCTGCCTTGTGTTCCTTGGTCTTGACGCACCCGTCTCCAAGCCCGCAGTTGCATGGGAGATCCTCGCAGGCAGCAGTTCCGCCCCTTGCTCCAGTCTCGGGCGTCTGCATCCAACTCCGGTCCCATCGCGCACCGGTGAATATCTCCAACTTCTCCGAGTAGCCCCAGAAACTCATGCCTTGCATATGCTTGTTGGCTTCGAGCCCGCAGGCATCTGCAGGCGTATCATGAAACAAGCAACCTGAGGAAAGGGCAGCAGTTGAAGCCATGCAAGCCGCAAGCTGCCTGCACGCAGTGAGACGTTTGCTCATCTGCACTTGCTCCTGGGCGCACTCACTTCTAGATGGACGAAAGAATCTCGGCCACAACAGTTCTAGGAGCCATCCAAAGCTATCCCACGCGCGTGCGTGGGCGGAAAATCGTGCAATCAGATAAGCCCTTGCACTGCACGCCTGTCCCGGCAGAGGATCGCATTGAGCTCCTTTCTAGGTCTCGACACTTCCGGACTTGCTCTACAAGTGCCGCGGCTCGTGCAAGTCTTGCAAGCTGAGACAGCTTGGCAGAAATCGCAGGCAACTTCGATGTTCTGTCCTTTGCCAAAGCGGCCCACGTAGCGGTCATCGCGGCAAACATTGACCTGCAGGCTGATGCCTGGCTTTGTAAATTCCACCAATACGCGACTGACATGCCAGGCTGGGATCCGTCCTGGTGCGGGAACTGCTGGAAGATACATGTCATGGAGTCCCACTCCTTGCGACATTCTGGGACTGTGAACCACTTTCGGTGGATGAGGATTGCCGCTTGCCCTACACAAGCGTCATGCATCTTTGGCAACCCTCTTGATGCCCGACTTGACAGAGCAGGTGGAGAAACCGCACAAAACACAAGGCTCATTGCTCACGACAAAGCATGAGCCATACGCCAGATAAAAGGCATGGATATGCAGACCCAGCTGAGCATGCCATATCATGCCCACGACCTTGATAAGACACTGGGATCTGGACGGAAGATTCTAGCGATTGCCGCAACGCGTCACGAACCTGCAAGCTCTCGCATGCTTGCCTGCTGATGAGATTCATCAAGCAGAAACAGGAAAAAGCTTTGGAAACGCGTAGGGGCCTGCAAAATGTCATCTTCCACGCGCAGCACTGCTGCGAAAGTTTCAGGCATATCCTGGGTCAGCCAACGTGCTGCGCCTGGCATCGGCTGCTTGGAAATCTAAAGCCGCTGTGTAAAACTACATGCCTGGCCAGGACATTGGCTGAAGCCAGCATGCCAATTCTACGTTGAAAAATTGCTGAGCGTGGCATGACAGAACTAGCGATCAAAGACCCGAGGCCAACCAAACCCATGCCTCTGTGAGAAAGGCGAGGCCAAGCCTGAGATTTCAATGGACTTGACCTGCTAGTACCGCCAAATTGACCGTGCTTTCTTACGCAACCCTTGCTGCACTTTTGTGGTCTGTGGTCAACGCTCTTTCCGTTCTATCAGCGTTGGGCCCTGACAGCTGCGTTGGGTAATCAGAATCATGTGATCTTCTGCTGGGTTGTTTGCAGTACCACATCGGAGAGTTGACGGCTACTCCACGGGTTTGCCTGCCTTCAAAAGATCTTGCGGTTCCTCCTCCGCCCATGCAAACTTGAGGAACCCTCACAAGCCGAAGGCCAAGCCGAGATTGGTGGCAGACTCATTCCTGACTCCTAGCGAGAAGAAGGGAATGAGCAGTTATAGAGTATAGTTTGCACTCCTCGCCTCCTCGAGATGCAGGAACTCCGGCGCATGCCGGACACTGGACCTTTGAAAAGTCTGCAGATCTTGAAGACCCTGGCCTATGATTATGTTGCGCTGCATCCCGCGAGAGTTTTGGGGCTCAGGCTCAATCACGAATCCAGCATGCGCATCAAGAAGGTTCTTCGCCTAAGCTGTCTAGCTTCACGCGCTAATCCTCACTTAGGGCACCAAAAAAAAGAGAGAGACCACTAGGACCAAACCCAGCCACCTTGCCCACCCCCATGCACCGCCCGCCAGGCCAGGGGCACGACACTCTCGGATGCTTGCTGAAGGATTGTGAATGCTTGAGCGCGCTTGCCGATAGGCCGAGCCCTTCCGGAATTCGACGAGGTTCATTCCCCCCGGTACCGGAACCCTTCTGCCAACCATTCGGGAAAAGACGGGCCACAATATGTGAAAGAGAGGCGTTGCATTGGAATTATCCCTCTGGCGATTGCAAACCCGAATCCGTTGAAGCTTGACTGCCCAGGCACCCATGAAAAGTAGTCAAAGGTGCAGTTCCCGCCTCAGGATGTTAAATCACTTGCCGCAAGGCTGCACCCTCCAAACTGGAGACGACTGAGCCTCCTGCTCTCAGCATCGCGCTGCACAGTGACATTGAGGTTCCACACGTAGTATGACGGTGCATTACGACCTTGACCCCCGAACTTCTTAAATTCTTGCCGAAGGGCAATGGACTGTCCAAGCTGGTTCTGTGGGGCCGACAGTTCATGGTGCTGGGAAGCACCAGGCGTCGTCCCAATAGCTTGGCAACCTGTCAGGACCCTCAAACAGGCTAAAATGCTCATACATGACAGGCTGTGAAAACCAAAGGCCTCCACAGCAGCTGACAAGGTAGTGAAGTCACGTTGCAGGCTTTGGCCACCAGGATGATGGTAGAGAAGGAATCTCACAGAGGCATTGATCCGTTCGTGCCAATCGTCGAGGAACCACACCTTCACACAGCAAGCGCCTAGCGGAACCCCACGTGTGCGCATGAAGCATTGCAGCAGGATGACAACCACCATCCAAACCCCTATCCAAACCAACTGAACGCGGCCGACTGAGCATGGCACCTGGCGATCGCGCAGGAAGTATTCCTGTCCGGCAAGCATGATGACAGCCAGGGCAAACTGTTCATGAATATGCATCGGGGCAGACTGCATCTGCATAGAACTCACCCAAAAACACAACGTCTCCAAAACATGCATTCATCCTGTCAGCAAAGACCACAATCGCAATTTCGTCGACGAGAATGCCAAGTTACTAAACTTTCAACGGACCACTGATATGTTCTGACAAGATTGGTGCCAAATGCAGCTGCGTGCTAGTCAAATCCCTGCCTTCGGGTCTGCACCGTTCACATGCGCCACAACCGGTAAAGGGCCAATCTGGGAAGGAAAGGGCAGACATCCGAGAGAGCTGCCAGGCGTCGCACAGGCGGCCAGGCCTTCGGATCGAGGAGATGTGCCCGTCGCCAGAAGAAGTTCATGCCATGTGCAATCCGTGCAGGGTCCTCGGCAAAGTGCCTTTCCCCCCTCACGAAACTCCACTTGTGTTGTAAAAAGATTGGGAAAGTATCCTTGACTTAAATCAGTGCATTACGAAGAAGCTGCGTGCCCTGCTTTAGGGACACAACGCATGCACAGCATACCAGGAAGGCATGTTGGGTCTGCCGGCTCAACCCTACAACCAACTCATTCGATCCCGTCTCGATGCTTCCTGACTCCTTTTTCGTATTTCTGGACACGCACCACTTACCACTGCACTCCTAAGCTTCAGGCCAGGATCCGAATGGAGGCCTGCAGAGCAGTTTGGCTTTGGACCTTGCAGTGGCCAGAGCTTCACGGCCTGTCTCCATGGCCATGTAGGCACAATGTTTTGTGGCCGGCCGAACACCTTGCCGTTGTATCGACCCACCTTTCTTCAAGACAAGGATGGGTGGCTGGGGTGCCCAGCAGGGGGCCTATATGAGGAGGAGTGAGAAGAGTCAACTTTTGGAGCCCTGTAACTACAAAGACAGGGGCTGCAAACTCAAGTTCCCCAAGCTGATTCACGCTTCAGCCCCAGATGCTCCATCTTGAAATGCTCATTCCAGTCTCGTGCCATTTCTCTATCTGGGTGGAATTTTCTACAACTTGCACGAGTCATTGGTGTTGGTTCGCACTGAGGCACTGAGCACCAACAAAAAAACAAACCCCTCGGGCAAGCACGACCAGGGGAGTGTCAGCGGCCATGCGTCGGACCTACACAAAGGTAAGCGTTCTAGAGCCACATTGCTGTTTACGCAGCTGCGAACGACTTGAACTGGCGAATTCTAGCACATGCTCTCAGACCCTGGCTATGAAGTGGTTGAAGACGCGCTGATCCTAAGTTTCAACAGCATGTCCCAGCCCTACTGGTACGTCCCCCGGGTGGCTGGCCATGCCGTCGCGGCGAACGCCTGCCACTTACCCGTTCCCATAGCTGCATTTTGGGACTATTGCTGCGCAACTCTTTGGGGCATGAGGCAAAGGACTGCAAAGGGGGCAGCTTTTGCTTTGGTCATACAGGCATTCAGACCAGTTGTCAGTTTCCAGCATCTGCGCTTGTCACTGTACAGCGGCGAGTGCGTGGTGCATCCCTTACCTGCCATCTCATCATCACCCCGCACTTCCGAGTTTGTACCACATAGAACCATATTGTACCCCACCCGCACGATCATTTCCACTACGCCCAGCAATCATTTTCGGTCCTGTTTCCGAACACCTTGCTTTCTCCAAAATGCGCTAATGCAGACGACTGCGTAGAGGGAGACAAGAAGCCGAGAAATCATTGCCCAGGGGTAGATAGTGGTGGTGGGAGGGCGGCGCTGGTTTCCAAGCTTTCTTGGCCAGGAGCAAGAAAATGTTACCGCCGATCCATTATGCTCCTCTGGAAAGCAGGCCCCAGGGCCTGACTGCAATTGCGTCATTGGGGGTTGAAACTCAAAAGCATTTGCAGAAAACGCAACCCTTTGAGACCCATGCAACGCAATCACATATCATAGTGCTGTGGAAACATCTCCCCTTCCCTTCCAAGACTGGGCACCTCCTTGCTCCGACTGCCAATTCTCATCCAGGAAGTCTGCAAGGAGAAGCCCTGAGAAGCAAAAGGCAAGAATCTGTTTCCACGCAAAAACTTGCAGACCCCTTTTCTTGGCCCAGCAGCGTATTGGGCGAGTTGGCTTGATGAGCACGAAACCAGTGTTGATGTGATCCTTCTTGGGCTTTGGATGGTTTGGTTTCCAATCCGCTCATTCTCTAACCCCAAGATCGCCTCGACACGAACCCATGGTTCCCAGAGATGCTTTTCAGGAAAGAAGTGGTCGGTCATAACCTCTTGCAAAGCTGGGGATTGAGGTTTGCAGGGTTTCTCCAAATCTCAGACTGGCCTCACCTTTCCGTATGGGTCTCTCTTCACTTGGAATGCAGAAGCATCTGAAACCCTGACACCTCTGGCACCTTGACAGCACTTGGGCAAGGCCGCCTCCATATCCGAGTCGCCTGCCAGCTCCTTGACAGGAAATTCGATACAAGTCGAACAGGCACAGGGCGTGAACCACACTGCCAAGCCGACGGTTCTGCCGTAATCGTTGCATCATACAGTACAGCACAAGTCCAGCGGCCAGATCCACCGGCTTTAAAACAAGTGGCACAAGTGAGGCTTTAGACCTTGAGCATGCTTCATGAGGTCGTGCAGCGCTTGTCACCTTATTTGCCTGGCCTTGGTGGGATCCCCCAGGAAAACAATGTCTGCATCCACCACGAGCACGCGAAGCCCAAATTCCGTGAGCGTGAGCATGAGGTACCATCCTTGCTTTTTGCATAGCTACAGCACAGTCATGTGCTGGTTTCCGCTTCCTGCAGCTGAACTCTGCCACATTTACAAACTGCAAAGGAATCAAAGGACATCAACATATCAAATTTCACAGTGGCAGGCTTAACATCCGCTCAAAGTTTTTTCTTCAAGCACGCGCAATCATGTCATACTACATTATACTACATTATAGTACAATTTACTACACTTTCATAATCTACTATATGATACTAGATGAGCAGATTATACTACACTATATTAGATGTTAACATATATATATATATAATATAACTAAGTATACCATATTATGAAGCAGAGCCGCGCATCTTCCAAATGTCATCCTTCAGGTCCTTCGAGCGGCATGGTCCCGCCTGCATTCAGCGAAGGCCCGAGGCAAGCCATCACAGCAAAGGCAAGGACCTGATATACTATAATGTGCTACAATATATAATACTAGAATATACTATATTGTAGTATTTCATAGCTAATGTACTATGATGTACTTTCCTTGGTTGGAGACAGTTGAAGTGGCCTCGCAAAGCACGGAGTTGAAACCATGTTCTTGCATGACCTCCCGGGGGTCCTAGAACACTCGCTTTGCGACATCTGCGATAATGCCGAGGAACCTATAAGATCGGAGATTGGATTTACTGGAACGCCAGGCGCCCGCGGCTTTCATGTGGGGATTCAAACTTGCCATTTTTAACTTTGCCACTGTTGCCCACTAGCTCTCAGGCTTCAGTTCATAGGCCTCAGTGCTCAGCTCATTCAGTGACTCTGCATATGCTGCCCTTTATTTCTATTGCCAACAAGTATGAAGTTATGCCGCAGAACCTCACCATGTGAGCCTGTGGAGCTCAGGGGATAACTTGCGCCTTGTGCGCAACTGTGTCCATTGAAATATACGCGAAGCGACGCTCCAGGTGCGGAGCCTGCAACTTCGTTACACGACTGGTTCACGTTAGCGGATGAGCAAATCCCTGCCACGTAGGAAGGCCCCGGCATATTTGCGGATGGACAATGCCAAGTTGACAGCTATGGCCGTCCGGCTGCCCTTTTCACCTGCAACTTGCAAATGCTGATGTGGTTGGGCTAATTCCCTTTCTAGACCAACTCCTGGCTAAGCCAGGTCCCAAAAGCGAAATGCCCTGCAGCCTTCCTAAGTGCCTGCAAGGTTTAGCGTCTGCCACTGCAAGTATCAACACCTCCCCGTGTGTGTTTTCCGAAAGGTGTCAAAGCAGGAAAAGACTCACGTCAACGCCGAGTCTGCTGCATGTTTGACCTAAACACCTAGCCTATGAGCGTACCACCCCTGCCTGCTTAAATCCTTGCACCCTTCGACCATCACTCTGAACAAGCTCAAGCAGCAGTCAAAGGCACAGACGCCACACTCCTTATTGCCTTAACAGCTGCTTTGTGAAACGACTCCGGCACCTGGATCTGCTGGAGCACCCGTTGTCCAGCTGAGGATAACCAGCTTCTCCGGCCCTTCCAGATCTTCCAAGGTCAGATCTTAGATTGCTCAGAGAGGCCTCAGTCCAATGCCTGCGATTTCTTGGAAGTACTCGCGTGGCAAAGGCAGAAGCATCCTGCAACTCATCCAAGTCATCACTTAAAGGGGAAAAAAGGCAATGAGGCAATGCTCCGCAAGGCTGCATAGACTTTTTCTTCAGGGTGGCACTGGGCTTCGGCTGTGACACCCCCTGTCTGTGAAAGCCTCCGCGGTTTAAACCGTCTTGAGGCAAAAACTGCGAGAAACGCAGAGCTGCCTTCAAAGGGTCAGCTCCTTCAGATCTTGCCCTGCTCAGGCTAGGCAACTGTTCCAGCATCTCATAATAACAAAGCAATGCGTAGCCTGAAAGCCGTCGCAGGATACCTGGCGGCATGTGAAACCCTAGTACCTGGCTGCAAGAGTCCACCTTCGACTGCGCGTTTGCCTACAGCAGCACCGGAAAGGCAGCTTGAGCTATCTAGAGTGGCTTGGAGCTTTGAAGCCATGAGAATGAGCTCTTGTAACAACATCCGAAGCTTAAGGACCTGATGAGTCAACCAAAGCCCTGACGCTTGATGGTCCGGCATGGCACGGTGAAACGTGGCTCTGTTGGTCAGAGCTTCACGCATGCGACAGAGGAGAAGCTCGACCGCAATGTGTAAGATCACTTCGCGGTAATCAGAAAGCTATCACGACTGGCTTTGCGGAAGAGCAGCTCTTGCAGTTGACCACCTAAAGCTACGTGACGTTTTTTTGGCCACGGCGTGGCCTCTCACGTGCGAATTGAATTGCTGTATTCTATCTAGGACAGTCGCAAGACACCGAGGCAGGAGCGGTCTGAACCCTGGAGGCGTTCCATGAATCATCTTCCATAATCAACAGAGTGCACAGCTCACAAGGCCCAGTGCCCGCAAACTGCCAGGTTACCTTCTCACTGCGCTTGTATCACATGGGGAGCGTGGCATCAGCCTGCAAGACATGCAGCTAGCACTTGCTACCGGGCTGACGCACCATCGCCCATCAGAATCATTTTACCTGGGTTTACGCGGCTGGCATTGTCTGAGGGGTCTGCCCTCTTGCCTCTCTGCAAGTAGAGGGCGTTGAGATGTCAAAAGCCTGTGTGCGCCCAGCGTACTACTCGCGAAAAATCCTGTGACCATCTGTAAACCTTGCAGGGCTGTACACACCAACATGGCAGCGCCTGTTGTCTGGCATGCCAGACAATGGCGGACTTTACGTGCCGGCACTGGAAAACGAAACCAACTTTCCGTGCTGCCAGCCCTTTAGGGTTGGCAGACGAATTATCCTCCATCGGCCTGTAAGTGCACGATGATAAGGTGGAGTGCAGATCGGAAATTCCGCTTTGGGATTAGACGCCTCCTGGCTGCGGAAGATGCCATCCACAGAGCTTGTTAACAGTCATGTCGCTTCTCAGGTTCCTCCGCCTCAGATGAACTCTTGTCAGAGTCCTGCTGGTGACGAATGGCCCGCCGGTCCTCCAAGTTCATGGCAGCATAATCTAGGAAGTCAAACCGGTGAAGTTGTTTTCTTCCTGGTGTTATTCCTTTTTCCTCCTTGTTTTCCTTTTAGGAGGACGCTCCACGCAAGACCTCAATCTCGCCACAGCCTGCTACTCGCAAGAGCTCCATATTTAGCAAGACTGCAAAGACTCCATGCCAAAGCTTGATTTTGAGCAGTGTGAGAATGCAGCAACTTGGAGGCAAGTGCCCAGCTTTAGCAGTAATGGGCGAGAGAAACAGGGTTACGGCGCCCGTACGGGCCCGTGTGTTTAAGCACATTCCTGTGTGAGATCTGAGGTCAATGCGCGCGAAACTATGGAGAAACGCCCATTTGCACGAAAAAGGTTGTAATTTCAGGGAGCAAAAAGAGCGTAAAGTAAAGTACCCTCCGATGTCTGATTTTGAGCATGTTGCCATGGTTTCGAGCGCATTTCGCAGCCCGAGGCCTACGGCGAAAACGACGTTTTCGTTGACGCAGCTTTTGCAAGCTGTCCAAGCTCGCTAAGGAGCTTGCTTGTGCCTGTGCCCTTTCGCCACAAGCTTTGCCACACGTAGTCAAGCACCTGTGGCTGAAACCCTGCGCTGTCGCAGCTCATCGTAAACAGACGGCTCGGCCATGGAGCGAACACACCCAAACAAGACCTTTTGTGAGGCAAA